TTTTACTGGGAAGTAGTCTCCCTCTCTTCTACACACCCTAACCTGAGCCTCACTATCCTCATAAAAACTCTTTACAGCATTTAATAACTTACCACCTATTCCATATACTTGCAACATCTGCCACATTGCTCCCCTATCCACTCCATCATATGCCTTTTCTAAATCCATAAATGCAATAAAAACTTCCCTACCCTTATCTAAATACTGTTCACATATATGCTTCAATGTAAACACTTGATCTACACATCCCCTACCCATTCTGAAACCTCCTTGCTCATCCGCAATCCTACATTCTGTCTTACCTCTAATTCTTTCAATTATGACCCTACCATACACTTTTCCTGGTATACTCAGTAAACTTATTCTTCTATAATTTTTACAATCTCTTTTGTCCCCCTTCCCTTTATATAAATGGACTATACATGCTCTCCGCCAATCCCTAGGTACCTTCCCCTCTTTCATACATTTATTAAACAAAAGTACCAACCACTCCAACACTATATCCCCCCCTGCTTTTAACATTTCTGTCATGATCCCATCAGTTCCAGCTGCTTTACCTCCTTTCATTCTACGTAATGCCTCACGTACCTCCCCCACAATTACATTCTGCTCTTCTTCACTCCTAAAAGATGGTATACATCCCTGGCCAGTGCATGAATTTACCGCCTCCCTTTCTTCCTCAACTTTTAAAAGTTCCTCAAAATATTCTCGCCATCTACCTAATACCTCCCTCTCCCCATCTACTAACTCCCCTACTCTGTTTTTAACTGACAAATCCATATGTTCCCTAGGCTTTCTTAACTTGTTTAACTCACTCCAAATTTTTTTCTTATTTTCATTAAAATTTCTTGACAGTGCCTCTCCCACTCTATCATCTGCTCTCGTTTTGCACTCTCTCACCACTGTCTTCACCTTTCTTTTACTCTCCATATACTCTGCTCTTCTTATAACACTTCTGCTTTGTAAAAACCTCTCATAAGCTACCTTTTTCTCTTTTATCACACCCTTTACTTCATCATTCCACCAATCACTCCTCTTTCCTCCTGCCCCCACCCTCTTATAACCACAAACTTCCACCCCACATTCTAATACATGTACTGCATTTTTAAAACTATTCCAACCCTCTTCAACCCCCCCACTACTCATCTTTGCACTAGCCCACCTTTCTGCTAATAGTCGCTTATATCTCACCGGAACTTCCTCAACAGACTTATTCCCCTATTATTTTTGCACTCTCTTATATCCCCTTTGTCTTCGTACAAAGGAACTATTATTATTATTATTATATAGGGGAAACCTTTAAACACATAGGGATCATGCAGCATCTGGGAAATGGAAGGCAGTAGAGCTTGATCCAAAGAAGGGAGGGTAAGTCCAATTCCTTGAATTACGAGTGCTTCTCCAGCATCAAGGAACATCTGAGGGGCATAGATTTCAATCCATTCAGTTTATAACCGAGTTACCACATTACTTATACTACTACCAGTTTTCAGTGTAATTTCCTTATTTATCTGTTCCACATCAATTCAAGGCATTCTCCGTGATCTGTTATTATTCATTAAACTGCAGTTACATCTCGCTAAATATTGTATGTATCACAAAAACCCTGAAGCTTTCTGAGCATCATTCACTTGTGAGTGCCCATCAGTGTGTGTTGTCAGGAGAGTGTATTTTTTAAACAGCTAGTTTCAAAATTTTTTCTTTTTTCTTTTTTTTGTCAGAATAATGGAATGGCTACTTTAAAAGGTCTTGTACATTATTTGTATTTGAATGTGATCTTGTATAATTTCTTGAGAGGTGGGATTCACAGCTGCATCACATAGTGTAATGCATGACTACAGCTGTTATGTGTCAACATGAACAACACTCATTGTCTTTGAATAGCATATTAAATTTAGTACAGTAATTCAGTTTGATGGTTTTGCACTTTTGAGAGCTAGAAAGAAATAAAATAGTACAGGAATATGCAAATAATTGCAAATCGTAAACCCTCTAAGCAGCATTTTTGGCAGTGATTCTACAGAGCAAAGTTTAGCTGAATAAATTAACATGTCAGTCATTAAGTTTTGTCACCAGTTCCAGAGCCACTGATGCAAAAGGACAATAAGAAGATTAAGAAAGTGGTTAATCACAAAAGTGCTCTGCAGTGTCATTTTTTTTTTTTTTTGTTGCTGCTGTGACTTGCATGTTCTCAGCTAATGTGGTTATCTGCATGCTAATTGATCAAAAGCTTTTCTGTTCCATAATAAAGTCAAAGAAGACTTGTCAGACATTAATGCCACAGTTAACACTTATCTTGATTGGCTTAATGTAGGGTTTTCTAATGTATTCAGAGGTAAACTGGTGAAATGTGTGAGACAGCTGGTAGTGCAACATGTGTCCTGGTCATCAGCAAGATTGTTCCGAGTGTTGAGTGTTTTGGGGGTGCTACACAGGGAATTGTTGGTTGACTGTCTCCCACACATTGCTCAAGCTGTTACAGCTACAGAGGAAAAGAGAGGCACAGGACTGGATCATACACTACGGTGAGTACTGAAAACTTTACTTGTTTTAACTTATTGAAGAAAGCTGTTTGTGCTGCTTGTATTTGTTTTGTTTTTAACCACCAGTCATCTCTAGCCAAGGCATGGTGACCTGAACAAGAAAAACGCTTTCAGAAAGTTTTTCTTTTTTCACATTTAGTGATTTATACAGGAGAAGGGGTTACTGGACCCTTGCTCCTTGCATTTTAGTTGCCTCTTATGTCATGCATGGCTAATGGAGGAAGAATTCTTCTCCACTTCTCAATGGAATTGTACAGAGAGTCCACAAAAACACTCCCTGATTTCAAACAGGTATAACGTGTAACTATGTTGTAATATTCTTTCACAATTAGTAGCTTTAGATGCAGGATTTCATTCAGTTTCATGTGGTATAGGGTAGCATTAAAGGCACTCAATATGCACCCCTCTGGTTGCTCAGCAAACATCGATGTGATAGTCCAGTTCGGTCCATACGCTTTGTAGCATGTCTGGTGTTATCATGCGAACTGCTTCCGTGATCGAAATTTTCAGCTCCTCCAGGGTTGCAGGTAGTGGTGGTGCATAAACTGTGCTCTTCACGTACCCCCCAAAGAAAGAAGTCACAAACAGTTATATCCGGTGACCTCTGCAAGTGGCCACAAAAACCTCTTTACCCTTATCTAAATACTGTTTACCTATATGTTTTACTGTAAACACTTGGTCTACACACCCCCTACCTTTCCTAAAGTGTCCTTGTTCATCTGCTATCCTACTCTCTGTCTTACTCATAATTCTTTCAATAATAACTCTACCATACACTTTACCAGGTATACTCACCAGATTTATTCCCCTATAATTTTTGCACTCTCTTTTATCCCCTTTGTCTTTATACAAATGAACTATTATTATTATTATTATTATATAGGGGGAACCTCTAAACACATAGGGATCATACAGCATCTGGGAAATGGAAGGCAGTGGAGTTTGATCCAAAGAAGGGGCACTCAATCACTGTCTTTGCAGAGGCGCTCATATACGACAGTTTAGAAATCCCTCCAAACTGCCAATATCCCAGACCCCTCCTTTAAAGTGCAAGCATTGTACTCCCCATTTCCAGGACTCAAGTCCAGCTAACCGGTTTCCCTGAATCCCTTCACACTCCAAGATCGTCAGGTCCCAAAAACCATTCGTCTCCATTCACTCCTGTCTAACACACTCATGCAGGCTTACTGGAAGTACAAGCCCCTCACCCACAAAACATCCTTTACCCCTTCCCTCCAACCTTTTTGAGGACAACCATTACTCCGCCTTCCTTCCCCTACAGATTTATATGCTCTCCAAGTCATTCTACTTTGTTCCATTCTTTCTTAATGACCAAACCACCTCAACAACCCCTCTTCAGCCCTCTGACTAATACTTTTAGTAACTTTACACCTCCTCCTAATTTCCACACCCCGAATTCTCTGCATAATATTTACACATATTGCCCTTAGACATGACATCTTCACTGTCTCCAGCCGCCTCCTCGCCACAGCATTTACAACCCACCTTACTCTCATCTATGTTCACTTTCAACTTTCTACCTTTTCACACCCTCCAAAACTCATCCACTAACCTTTGCAACTTTTCTTTAGAATCTCCCAAAAGCATAGTATCATCAGCAAAAAGTAACTGTCAACTGCCATTTTGTATTTGATTCCCCAAAATTTAATCCCACCCCTCTCCCCAACACTCTAGCATTTACTTCTTTTACAACCTCATCTATAAATATATTAAATAACCATGGTGACATTACACATCCCTGTCTAAGACCTACTTTTTGCCAGGAAGTAATCTCCCTCTCTCCTACACTCCCTAACCTGAGCCTCCTATCTTCATAAAAACTCTTTTTGCCATTTAGTAGCTTACTACCTATTCCATATACTTACAACATCTGCCACATTGTTCGCCTATCCACTCTATCATACACCTTTTCTAAATCCATGTATTTTTTTTTTATTAACACATGGGCCGATTCCCACCAAGGCAGGGTGGCCCGAAAAAAGAAAAGCTTTCATCATCATTCACTCCATCACTGTCTTGCCAGAGGGGTGCTTTACACTACAGTTATACAACTGCAACATTAACACCCCTCCTTCAGAGTGTAGACACTATACTTCCCATCTCCAGGAATCAAGTCCGACCTGCCGGTTTCTCTGAATCTCTTCATAAATGTTACTTTGCTCACACTCCAACAGCATGTCAAATATTAAAAACCATTTGTCTCCATTCACTCCTATCAATATGCTCATGCACGATTGCTGGAAGTCCAAGCCGCTCGCACACAAAACCTCCTTTACCCCCCCTCCCTCGAACCCTTCCTAGGCCGACCTCTACCCCGCCTTCCCTCCACTACAGATTTATACACTCTCGAAGTCATTCTGTTTTGTTCCATTCTCTCTACATGTCCGAACCACCTAAACAACCCCTCCTCAGCCCTCTCGATAATAGTTTTGGTAATCCCACACCTCCTAATTTCCGAACTACGAATTCTCTGCATTATATTCACACCACACATTGCCCTCAGCCTTCTCCTCGTTGCAACATTCATCATCCATGCTTCACACCCATACAAGAGTGTTGGTACAACTATACTCTCATACGTACATTCCCCTTTTTGCTTCCACGGACAAAGTTCTTTGTCTCCACAGACATCTAAGTGCACCACTCACCCTTTTTCCCTCATCAATTCTGTAATTCACCTCATCCTTCATAGACCCATCTGCTAACACGTCCACTCCTAAATATCTAAATACATTCACCAACTCCATACTCTCTCCCTCCAATCTGATCTCCAGCCTTTCATCACCTAATCTTTTTGTTATCCTCATAACCTTACTCTTTCCTATATTCACTTCTAATTTTCTTCTTTTACATCCCCTACCAAATTCATCCACCAACCTCTGCACCTTCTCTTCAGAATCTCCCAAAAGCACCTTGTCATCAGCAAAGAGCAACTGTGACAACTCCCACTTTGTGTTTGATTCTTTATCTTTTAATTCCATACCTCTTGCCAAGACCCACGCATTCACTTCTCTTACAACCCCATCTATAAATATATTGAACAACCACGGTGACATCACACATCCTTGTCTAATGAAAACTTCCCTACCTTTATCTAAATGTTGTTCACTTATATGCTTCAATGTAAACACTTGATCTACACAGCCCCTACCCACTGTAAAGCCTCCTTGCTCATCTGCAATCCTACCCTCTGTCTTACCTCTAATTCTTTCAATAATAACCCTACCGTACACTTTACCTGGTATACTCAGCAAACTACTACTTCTTTCGACACACCAGCCGTATCCCACCAAGGCGGGGTGGCCCAAAAGGAAAATCAAAAGTTTCTCCTTTTACATTTAGTAATATATACAGGAGAAGAGGTTACTAGCCCCTTGCTCCCGGTATTTTAGTGGCCTCGTACAACATGCATGGCTTACGGAGGAAGAATTCTGTTCCACTTCCCCATGGAGGTAAGAGGAAATAAACAAGAACAAGAACTAGAAAGAAAATAGAAGAAAACCCAGATGGGTGTGTACAGGGCCATATTAAGAAGTCTCCGGGCCCTAGGCTATTCAGATTGGCGGGGCCCCTTTGAGTTACGGGTAAGCGAAGCGACCCCTTCTAGTTTGGGGGGGGGTCGGTGTGAGCCTGTTTAAGGTCTAATTAAATACATTCTGGCTATTTAGTTTAAATTTAATAGGGAAAGTACATCAAGACAACCAAAACCATTTACCAACAGCCATTATAACTATCTTGTTAAATCATGCATTTTAAAGAGAATAAACTCAAGACAGCATAGTATTACTAGATTAGGCTATTAAAGTAGTGACATCATGTACCTATTATATTCAGCATAGCCACTACAGCACTATTATTCCCTTTATAAATCACTTTATAAAGCACTTGCACCATGTGCGCAGTCTTGGATGAGCCCCTGAACCCCTTGGACCACGGGGCCCTAGGTAAATGCCTAGTTTGCCTATACGGTAATCCGGCCCTGGGTGTGTATATACAGTGGACCCCCGGTTAACGATATTTTTTCACTCCGGAAGTATGTTCAGGTGCCAGTACTGACCGAACTTGTTCCCATAAGGAATATTGTGAAGTAGATTAGTCCATTTCAGACCCCCAAACATACACGTACAAACGCACTTACATAAATACACTTACATAATTGGTCGCATTCGGAGGTAATCGTTATGCGGGGGTCCACTGTATATGTTTGTACATGTATGTGTAGTGTGACCTAAGTGTAAGTAGAAGTAGCAAGATGTACCTGAAATCTTGCATGTTTATGAGACAGAAAAAAGGACACCAGCAATCCTACCATCATGTAAAACAATTACAGGCTTCCGTTTTACACTCACTTGGCAGGACGGTAGTACCTCCCTGGGCGGTTGCTGTCTACCAACCTACTACCTAGACTCAGCAAACTTATTCCTGTATAATTTTAAGTTTCTTTTGTTCCCCTTCCTTTTATATACAGGAACTGTGCATGCTCTCTGCCAATCCCTAGGTACCTTCCCCTCTTTCATACATTTGTTAAACAAAAACACCAACTACAGTGGACCCCCGCATAACGATTACCTCCGAATGCGACCAATTATGTAAGTGTATTTAAGTAAGTGCGTTTGTACGTGTATGTTTGGGGGTCTGAAATGGACTAATCTACTTCACAATATTTCTTATGGGAACAAATTCGGTCAGTACTGGCACCTGAACATACTTCTGGAGTGAAAAAATATCGTTAACCGGGGGTCCACTGTACTCCAACACTATATCTCCCCCTGCTTTTAACATTTCTCTCATGATCTCGTCAGTTCCAGCTGCTTTACCCTCTTTCATTCTACGTAATCCCTCACACACCTCCCCCTTATTCACATCCTGCTCTTCTTCACTTCTAAAGTTGTTATACCTCCCTGGCTAGTGCATGAAATTACTGCCTCCCTTTCTTCATCGACATTTAGTAGTTCTTTAAAATATTCCCGCCATCCACCCAATACCTTCAGTTCCCCATCAACTAACTCCCCTACTCTGTTTTTAACTGACAAATCCATGCATTCCCTAGGCTTTCTTAACTTGTTTATCTCACTCCAAAATTTTTTTTCTTATTTTCAGAAAGATTTTTTGACAGCATATTTTACACTGTCTTATATATATATATGATGGCAAGATGCTTTTTTGAATAAATTAAAAATGTAATGGTAAAAAAGTATTAATAAAACTGGTCATGAACTGTAGATACAGTAAATAAGACATTGTGTACTGAGTTCACATTTTTCTTTTCTAAAATTCCATACAGGTAAAGTTATTCATTCAAAAGAAAGTGTTAATCCCATTTGCATCAGTGTCAGTTTGCTAATTAAGCTTTACAATTACAATAATTAATTAAACATTACTGTGATACCCGAAACCATGGATAGTGGCGAACCATATATATGTCGTTGTTTGTTTACATACATACCTATGATAAAGTTTAATTGATAAATTATGCACAATAAATCGAGAATTAGCATGTTTCATGGATTGGAAGCACTTCACAACTTCTTTTAGGCTTTGAAGAACTGCCATCATCACTACTTTTATGCTTTGATGTCATTATTAAGCAAAATAAACCATAGATAACTGAAAAAGCAGAAACCAAATCCACGGATACGGGGGTTCTACTATGCTATTAAGCCTTGATTTAATGGGCTAATATGGGATAGTGTGTCCAGTAATGCTGATTGGCTAGTAAATCCAAATAATGAAACTGTTTTGTCTTTATCATAGAATAATGGAGAAGTACTGTAGCACCAGAATTTTGTCTGTTGCTTCTGAAGTCAGTTTACTCACTGGATCATAACAGTAATGAACAATTCTGTAAACTATAAGCTTTGTCTGTTGTGTTATAATCGAATATGGTTATCAATAATACTGGTAATAAAAACCTTTATCTATAGATTCTGCTCAGACTCCAGTTTCTACTGTCATGATCAATATCACTGGTTAGTTTTCCTCTTCCCCTCTCCCACACACTTCACTTGTCACTGGGTTAATTAATATTTAAAAAAAAATTTTTTTTATTTTTAACAGACATGGGTACCAGACACTCCTGGCCAGCTTAGGTGTAAATGAGGGAGATATAAAACCTTCATAGAATCGGTATGTACAGGAAGACTAAGTAGAAAACACTATTGTATATTTTCAAATAAATTTTTTTTATATTGAAGAGTTTTAACATAAACTATCCTAAAATGCATGATGTAATAGCTTATGTTAAGTATGTCACTTAGACTTGGTTATTTTGTTCACCAAAAAGCACTAAACTTGTGTAAATCATTGAAATGTTTAGTTCAGGGGTCCCCAGCTTGCATGTAGCCCTTCTAGGAACCTGATGCAGCCCTCACATGAAATTAAGAATTCATTTTTATGTAGGTTCCACACTGTACAGTGTCAAAACCATGCAGCCCTCATCACACATTTGACCATCAACTGTGGCCTACTTGTGTAGGAAGGTTGAGGACCACTGGTTTAGCTCAATGAAGGAGAATGCACATGCAGTGGTACCCCAAGTTTCGTACAGCTTCCAACTCAAACAATTATGTAAGTGTATTATTGTCAGTGCTTTTGTAAGTGTTTTTTTTTGGGGGGTCTGAAATGGACTAATCTAATTTACATTATTCCTTAATCCTTAAACGTCCAAACGTATATATGAGCTCTTGCGCCCTAAACGTATATATGTGTTGTTTTTCCTGCCTTCAAATTTGGCAAGATTGGCCTGAGATGCCTTGTCAGCATAGAATGGGTCCTAATACTCAGTGTGCGCAGTATTAGAAAAATCTGGGACCACTTAGTACCTTGTGGGAGTGCCAGCTAGAGCAAACAGTGCGGCAAACACCAAGGATTCACTGATGTAATGTCATATTAACACTCCTCTTTTAAGAGGAAAGTGATGTTAACCCCAAGTTTAGGGTCTGTCTACCTCTGTCTATTTGTCTCTGTATCTCTCTCAATCTGTCTCTCTTTCTGTCTATCTCTGTCTCACAGGTACACATAAATACAAGTATACATAGTGTAAATTACCTAGGATAACCCAAAAAATCCAGACAAAGTGCTATACTCTGCTTGAAGATGTGAGTAAACGTGATGACGACGCAGTCTTGTGGCTCTCTCTGAGACAGAGAGCTAGATGGATAGACAGATAGACAGGGAGCTTGACAGACAGACAAATAGACAGACAGACATGTTTGTGTACCAGCGAAAACAAAGTGAGGGCGATGCTTATGAAATATCACCTCTAATTTTTTCTTATCAGCTGCACCCTCCCCCACCCTCGTGTATGCTCGTCAAACGTCAGCTCTTATCAGTTATCTCATCTTATCATGTCACTGTCATGGGTGGACTTTGTTTTTCATGCTTCAAGGGAACTTATTATTACCTATTATTATTATTACTTATTATTATTCTCCTCCTCCTCCTCCTCTTCCTCCTCCTCCTCCATCTCCTCCATCTCCTCCCCTCCATCTCCTCCTCCTACCTCCCCATCTCCTCCTCCTCCATCTCCATCTCCCCACCATCTCATCTCCTCCTCCATCTCCATCTCTGCCATCCTCCACTCTTCTCCTCCTAATCCTCCTCCTCATCCAACTTCCTCCCTCATCCTCCTCCTCCCTCATCCTCCTCCTCCCTCATCCTCCTCCTCCCCATCCTCATCCTCCCTCCTCCTCCCTCCTCCTCCTCTCCTCCTCTCCCTCCATCTCCCCCTCCTCCCTCCTCCTCTCCCTCCTCCTCCTCCTCCTCCCCATCCCCCCCATCCATCTCCCTCCCTCTTCTCCTCCTTTCCCCCTCCTCTCTCCTCCCTCCCCTCTCCTCCTCCTCTCCCTTCCTCCACCTCCTCCTCCCCCTCCCCTCCTCCTCCCTTCTCCTCCATCCCTCCCCCCTCCCCCTCCTCCTCCTCCACTCCCCCTCCATCTCCTCCCCTCCATCACCTCTCCTCCTCCCCTCTCCTCCCCTCTCTCCTCCCTCTCCTCCTCCTCCCCCCCTCTCTTCCCCCCTCTCATCACCATCCCCCCCATCTCTTCCTCCCTTCCTCCTCCATCCTCCTCTCCCTCCTCCTCCTCCCTCCCCCTCCTCCATCTTCCTCCTCCATCCACTCCTCCTCCACTCTGCCTCTCCCTCCTCCCCCTCCCTCCCTTTTCCCCCCTCCCCCTCCCTCCTCCTCCTCCTCCCCCTTTCTCTTCCTCATCCTCCTCCCTCCCCCTCCTCTCTCCTCCTCCCTTCCCCCTCCCTCCTCCTCTCCTCTCTCCCTCCATCCTTCTCCTCCCCCTCCCCCCTTCCCCCTCCCTCTCCTCCTCCCTTCCCTCCCTCCTCCTTCCCCCTTCTTCTCCTTCTCACCTCCTCCCTCCTCCTCCTCCCTCCTCCTCCTCCTCCTCCTCCTCCTCCTCCTCCTCTCCATCCTCTCTCCTCCCTCTTCTCCTTCCTCCCTCCTCTCCCCCCTTTCCCCCTCTCCCCCCTCTTCGCCTCCCCCCTTCCTCCTCCCCTCCCCCCTCCTCCTCCTCCTCCCTTCCTCCTCCCCCTCCCCTCCTCCCCCCTTCCTCCTCCTTCCTCCCTCCTCCCCCTCCTCCCCCCCTTTCCTCCCCCCCTCCCTCCTCCTTCCTCCTCCCCCCTCCTTTCCCCCTTTCTCCTCCTCCCCCCCCCTCCCCCCCTCCCCCTCCTCCCCTTCCTCCCCCCCTCCCCCTCCTTTTTTTTTTTTTCCCCCCCTCCCCCCCCCCCACCCCCTTCTTTTCCCCCTTCCCCCCCTTTCCCCCCCTCCTTTCCCCCCCTCCCCCCCCTCCCCCCCCCCCCCCCTTTTCCCTCCTCCCCCCTTTTTTCCTTTTTTTTTTTTTTTTTTTCCCCCTCCCCCCCCCCCCCCTTTTTTTCCTTTTTTTCCCCCCTTTCCCTCCCCCCCCCCCCCTTCCCCCCCCCTCCCCCCCCCCCTCCCCCCCTCCCCTCCTCCTTTTACCCCCCCCCCTTTTTTTCCTTTTTCCTTTTTTTTTTTTTTTTTTTTTTTTTTTTTTTCTTCTTTTTTTTCTTCTTTTTTTTTTTTTTTCTTCTTCTTCTTTTTTTTCCCCCCCCCCCCCTCCTCCCCCCCCCCCCCCAAATCCCCCTCCCCCTAAACATCACCCTCACCCTCATCATCATAAAAAATTTTTTTCCCCCCTTCACCCTCCCCCCCCCCTTTCCCCCCCCCCCCTCCTCCTCCTCCTCCTCCCCCCCCCCCCTTTTCCACATTTTTAAAAAGGGTTATTTTAAAAAAAAAAGGGGGGGGGTTTAAGAAAGGGGGGGGGGAAAAGGGGGGGGGAAAATTTTTTGGGGGGCCCCCAAAAACCCCCCCTTTTTTTAAAAAAAAAAAAAAAATTTTTTTTTTTTTTTTTTAAAAAAAAAAAAATTTTTTCCCCAAAAAAAAAAAATTTAAAATTTTGATAGAAAACTTACGGAAAATTAAAGCCCCCTCGCAAAATTAGCGGGCCCCGGCGATGTTTTTCGCATCGGCGATTTTTTTTCCCCCCTTTAGCCCCCTTTTCGGGGCCCAAATTTTATGTTCTATTTGACAAAAAACTTTAATATTTTTCCCAGAACCTTTCCCTTTTTTTTTATTTGAATGGGTGCCAAAAAAACCACCCATTTATGAAATACAACATCCAAACAGTGGTCAGAATTTTTGCAATTTTTGCCAAATTTTCCCACAAATTTCAAACGATGCCCAAATTTTCCCAATAGGGGCCAGAATTTAAAAAAGAAAGACATTTCCGGCACTAAAATGACATTTCCTTAGTTTATTAGGGCACGGGCTCCCAAAGGGCCCCCCTTATTTTCTTTTGCTTTCCCCTTTGAAATTTTTTTTCTCACAAAAAAAAAATAAGGGTTTAATGTTATGCAGACCCACTTTCATTAGGAAAAAATGTATAAATATTATTGGTGCACTTGTGAAAGAATATTAGACTCACCAGTTGACGTGTATTGCACGCTTGGCACGATTTGTTTACTTTTGAAGTTTGGTAAAAATTGAACATTTCTGCTACTTTGAGCTCAATTTCAAGGCACCATTCATTGTAAAACCAGTCAAAATCATCTCAATTTCTGTAATATGTCTTCCATTCTATAAAATGAGACCAAGAAAACTAGAATACAACAATAAATACCATACGAAAATACACTGCAAAGTCGCTGATTTATTTAAAAAAAATGGTCAAAGTTTTTTTTTTCTCATTATGCACTGGGTGCTGCAGGATTTTTTTTAGACTGTGCACACTGACCACATAGACCCATTCTTTCATATGAAGGCCTACCAGCTTTCTCCCACTAGATTTGAGGCCGCTAGAATTTATGCGTACTAGTACGTCAAAAACCCCTACGCGTAAGACGTACTAGTATGACCAAAACCCTCAAAGGGTTAAAAATGCAGTATCAGAATGTGGGGCAGAAATTTGTGGTTATAGGAGGGTGGGGGCGGGAGGAAAGAGGAGTGATTGGTAGAATGATGAAGTAAAAGGTGTGATAAAAGAGAAAAAGGTAGCTTATGAGAGGTTTTTACAAAGCAGAAGTGTTATAAGAAGAGCAGAGTATATGGAGAGTAAAAGAAAGGTGAATAGAGTGGTGAGAGAGTGCAAAAGGAGAGCAGATGATAGAGTGGGAGAGGCACTGTCAAGAAATTTTAATGAAAATAAGAAAAAATTTTGGAGTGAGTTAAACAAGTTAAGAAAGCCTAGAGAACGAATGGATTTGTCTGTTAAAAATAGAGTAGGGGAGTTAGTAGATGGGGAGATGGAGGTTTTGGGTAGATGGCGAGAATATTTTGAGGAACTTTTAAATGTCGACAAAAAAAGGGAAGCGGTAATTTCATGCACTGGCCAGGGAGGTATACCATCTTTTAGGAGTGAAGAAGAACAGGATGTGAGTGTGGGGGAGGTGCATGAGGCATTACATAGAATAAAAGGGGGTAAAGCAGCTGGAACTGATGGGATCATGACAGAAATGTTAAAAGCACGGGGGGATATAGTGTTGGAGTGGATTGTATTTTTGTTTAATAAATGTATGAAAGAGGGGAAGGTACCTAGGGATTGGCAGAGAGCATGTGTAGTCCCTTTATATAAAGGGAAGAGGGACAAAAGAGATTGTAAAAATTATAGAGGAATAAGTTTACTGAGTATACCAGGAAAAGTGTACGGTAGGGTTATAATTGAAAGAATTAGAGGTAAGACAGAATGTAGGATTGCGGATGAGTAAGGAGGTTTCAGAGTGGGTAGGGGATGTGTAGATCAAGTGTTTACATTGAGGCATATATGTGAACAGTATTTAGATAAAGGTAGGGAAGTTTTTATTGCATTTATGGATTTAGAAAAGGCATATGATAGAGTGGATAGGGGACCAATGTGGCAGATGTTGCAAGTATATGGAATAGGTGGTAAGTTACTAAATGCTGTAAAGAGTTTTTATGAGGATAGGCTCAGGTTAGGGTGTGTAGAAGAGAGGGAGACTACTTCCCAGTAAAAGTAGGTCTTAGACAGGGATGTGTAATGTCACCATGGTTGTTTAATATGTATTTATGGATAGGGTTGTAAAAGAAGTAAATGCTGGGGTGTTCAGGAGAGGGGTGGGATTAAATTATGGGGAATCAAATGCAAAATGGAAATTGACACAGTTGCTTTTTGCTGATGATACTGTGCTCATGGGAGATTCTAAAGAAAAATTGCAAAGGTTAGTGGATGAGTTTGGGAGTGTGTGTAAAGGTAGAAAGTTGAAAGTGAACATAGAAAAGAGTAAGGTGATGAGGCTATCAAATGATTTAGATAAAGAAAAATTGGATATCAAATTGGGGAGGAGGAGTATGGAAGAAGTGAATGTTTTCTGTACTTGGGAGTTGACATGTCGGTGGATGGATTTATGAAGGATGAGGCTAATCATAGAATTGATGAGGAAAAAAAGGTGAGTGGTGCATTGAGGTATATGTGGAGACAAAAAACATTATCTATGGAGGCAAAGAAGGGAATGTATGAAAGTATAGTAGTACCAACACTCTTATATGGGTGTGAAGCTTGGGTTGTGAATGCAGCAGTGAGGAGGCGGTTGAAGGCAGTGGAGATGTCCTGTCTAAGGGCAATGTGTGGTGTAAATATTATGCAGAAAATTTGGAGTGTAGAAATTAGGAGAAGGTGTGGAGTTAATAAAAGTATTAGTCAGAGGGCTGAAGAGGGTTTGTTGAGGTGGTTTGGTCATTTAGAGAGAATGGATCAAAGTAGAATGACATGGAGAGCTGCTGCCGCCGCCGCTGCCACCGCCACCACTACCTCTTCCTGCCTATATATAACCGTCCTGCTCTACTTCTCGTAAGTGTGACTTTGTAAATGGTCCAAGTCGGACCGAAACGTCGTCGTAAGCTCCTCTCTTCTATGTGTGGGTTATTTGTGTATTGGAGGGATATGTTTGTGTATCT